CCCCCCCAGCCAGTCTGAGTGGCAGGGCGGTGACACGGGTGGCATTGCGTTGGAAGCAGAGCCGTTCTGTCAGGGAAGATGAGGCCATGAGTCCCGCGTGCCCCTTCCACCCCTCCACCCCTCCCCAAGAGATGGGGCCTGGGGGAACAGACTCCAGCCAGACGGGGGTTGGGGGGAGCGGGCGTCTCACCAAGCTCATCGGAAGTGCAGGCATGGTCCCACAGCACGGCACTGACTTTAGCCTGGGCCAGGGCATAGGTGCCATTGTAGGCGCCAGCATCCAGCTTCACCAGCACCTCATGGGTGGCCACGATGCTGCCATTCCTTGGGGGGGGGAGCAGAGTCAGCCTGGGGCCACAGGGACCCCCCAGCCACCACCCCCCTCACCCCCCCTCACCTGAGCTCCAGGAGCCGGAGGCCTTGGTAGCCGGGCACTGCCTTGTACAGCAGCCCCATCTGCAAGATAGCAGCCATGAGCCCCAAGCCAGACACGTGGATGCAGGGGACATGGATACGTGGATGCGCCGAGACATGGCTGCACAAGTGCATACACACACATGTACATGGATACATGGTGCATGGATGCACATGGTCACACATACCCAGGTGCATGGGTGCACCAAGACACGGGTGCACATGTACATAGATACATGCAGGCATGAATACATGGTGCATGGATGCGCATACCCAGGTGCATGGATACACCAAGACACAAGTGCATACACATACAAGTGTGCATGGATACACTGGTGTATGGGGACATGTATCCACAGGTGCACAAGTACATGGGTACATAGACACACCAATGCACGTGTGCATGGATACAGCGATACAGGGGTGCATGGATGAACCAATGCACATGTGTGAAGATACAGGGGTGCACAGAGGCCTGGATACCCAGGTGCATGGATGCACCGATGCAGGGATACAGGAGTGCACAAATACATGTGCGCACAGACACATGCATGCACAGACACACATGTGCTGGGAGCCCCGGACCCACGCGTCTCTGGACTCTGCTGCCCCCCATCACCTGCTGTTTGAAGTGGGTCTGGAAGTGCTGGTATGCGGCAGAGCTGGGTTCATCCATGGAGGGCTGGAAGGTCATGTTCACCACAGTCACCGTGACCCTGATGGCAGCCACCACTGTGCCTGTAGTGGGGAGGGGCAGAGGTTGAGGCTCCATCCACCCAGAGACACCCCCCATCCCTTGGTGGCAGCCCAGGCTGGGGGCAAGGACACCTGGGTTCCCTCTCTCCAGGCTGCAAGGGCCTGAGCTCCTGCCCCCAACACTCATAGCCAAAGGGGCAGGGGGCTGTGGGTCAGGAGTGTGGGGCACCAATAGGATGGGGAACCCTGTGATACTCACTGACATTAATGTTGTTGATGACAATCTCACAGACCTGTCCTGTCAGGCCAGGGGGGCACTGGCAAATGCTGGCCACAAGTGTCCCCCCATTCTGGCAGGCTAGGGCGGGTGCCGAGGGGGCTGTGTGGACAAGCACAAGGGGGTTAGGGCAGGGCCAGGGGCCAGGGGTCCTGGCTGCAGCCAGCCGAGGATGGGGAGGGAAACTCACCCATGGGCATGGCCGTGGGGACCGCAGGCAATGGCGTTGAGTGTGGGGCTGAGGGGCTGAGTGAGCCCGTGGCCGAGCTGTGGGCCACTATGGGAAATGCCGTAGATGACACACTTGTCTCTGGTGTGATCATCTCTGTGGACACGGACTCCCACAGGTCCGTGGGAGGCACGCGGGTCCCTGTCGTGGTCAGGGATTCCCACGGGGCTGCAGATGACACACGGGTCTCCGGTGTGGTTGCCTCCATGGAGATGGGCTCCCATGGGCTGATGGATGAGCCATGTGTCTCTCGCATGGATGTCTCCATGGACAACACGTGTGTCTCTAGCGTGAACATCTCCGTGGACCATGTGTGCGTCTCTGGCATCTCCATAGATGACATATGTGTCTCTGACTTGGACATCTCCGTGGTCGACACAGATGTCTCCAGTGTGGTCAGCTCCGTGGATTCCGTGTGCGTCTCCGGCGTGGACACCTCCGTGGATTCCGTGTGCGTCTCCGGCGTGGACACCTCCGTGGATGCCGTGTGCGTCTCCGGCGTGGACACCTCCGTGGATTCCGTGTGCGTCTCCAGCGTGGACACCTCCGTGGATGCCGTGTGCATCTCCGGCATGGACACCTCCGAGGATGCCGTGTGCGTCTCCGGCGTGGACACCTCCGTGGATGCCGTGTGCGTCTCCGGCGTGGACACCTCCGAGGATGCCGTGTGCGTCTCCGGCGTGGACACCTCCGTGGATGCCGTGTGCGTCTCTGGCGTGGACACCTCCATGGATGCCGTGTGCGTCTCCGGCGTGGACACCTCTGTGTGCCGGGTGCTGATGCGCCGGGTGCAGGGGGTAGTCGTGGTGATGGTGCGTAGGCAGGTTGTGGATTGGATCAGGCTCGTCCGCTTTGTCACGACCCCAAACCCCCTGGGCTCCATGGGCAGGGCTGTCACCTGCCGCCGGGTGACCTGGGGAACCTGTGAGGGGCTGGTGGCTCCTGTGACCTTGGCCATGGCTATGGTTGTGGCTGCAGGGGCCATAGCTCTGGCTTCGGGTCCTGGGGGGAGAGAAGAGGTCAGTGGGCTCAGGGTGGGGCAGAGTGGGTATCAAGGGGCAGGGGGATGAGGGGGGAAAGGGTGTCCTGGACACCTGGGTGGGAGGGGGAGACACCTGGGTCCTGTGCCCATGCGTGTATCCCAGATGTCTGGGTCCCCTTCAGCCATCTCCCTGGGCAGTGAGGGACTCACCGCACAGGGGAGGCCAGGACACTTGGAGCTGGAAGGACACACAACACCCCCTGAGACCATCCCAACCCCCTCAGACACTCCCAGCCTGGCTGAAGGGGGTATCCCACAGGTCCCCAACCCACAAACCCCCTTCTCTGGGGTCCCCCACTCACCAGAGGTCAAGGCCAAGGCCAAAGCCAAGGCCAGGAGAGCGCCGGGGAAGCCCATAGACGTGGGGGGCTGCGGTGGTGGCTGTGGGTGGCAGGAGGGAGGGTGGCAGCTTTCATAGCCTGCGGGAGGGGCCGGGGCTGGACGTCAGGCTGATAAGGACCCTGGGG